ATATACACACACACACACACACACACACACACACACACAAATATATTTGTTGTTGTTGATGACTTTTAGAGAGAGAGGAAGGGAGGGAGGGGGAGAGGGAGAGGGTTGGAGGCCCCATCTTTCTTTCATACCTTTAATCTATAAATTACACAGTAGAGTTCTGAAATGACATCTCATTTCACTGCCTGCCTTTCCAGTAGGGCTTTTTTCTGCTCATGACTCTAGTGGAATGAAGGATGCATAATAAACACTTTTAGCCTCCAGCGAGAGCCCTCTGGCTTCTTGTCCCCAATATTACCTATGACATATTTCATGAGGGTGTTTGAGTGGGAGAAACCCATTAATGAGACCAGTGAGAGTGAGGAAGAGAATTTCTGGTGATTTGTGAGTGTAGCAGCAGCATGTGGACTCTCTCTTGATGGTTTCTAGAAGTAACTTAGAGCATTAAATAACTAAACAGTGGCACAAACTGATTCAGATAATGCCCTGAAAATGCAGCAGGAGTTGAACTTGTCCAAATAAGAGAATTTAGGGCTGTAGCTGCCATGATTAAAAACAGCCTCATGCTTTAGCCTGAATGCAGCAATTTTTTTAAATGTTTTTATTGAGAGAGAGGAAGGGAGAGGGAGAGAGAGATAGGAACATCAATGAGAGAAACATCATTCATCTGCTTCCTGTATGCCCCCTACTAGGGATGAGCTCAAGACTCTGGCATGTGCCCTGGCTAGGAATCAGACAGGTGACCTCTTGGTGTGTGGGACGACACTCAACCAACTGAGCCACACCGACCAGGCCTGAATGCAGCCATATGATTGGGTGTGGTCTCTTGGGAATTAGACATTGGATCCTGAAAAGATGATGCTTCCTAGGAATTGGGAGACCTGGGAAGGAGAAAGTAGTGAAAATGGTACTAGAAACCACAGGTTAAGTGGAAACTGGGTATCACAACAACAGTATGACTGTGGATTCAGTAGGACTGGTGTTTGACTATTACCATTGCCATTCAGCTTAGAGGAGGGTCTGTGCCCTTTGCAAAGGCATGGGTTTGTGTGTGTGTGTGTGTGTGTGTGTGTGTCAAGGAGGGTCTGTGCCCTTTGCAAAGGCATGGGTTGTGTGTGTGTGTGTGTGATGATGATGATGATGATGATGATGTCCCAGGTCAGGTTTTGCTTGGAAGGGGCTCTGAGTAGCTCTCTTTGCTCCAAGTTGGTCAGATTCTCCAAGGGTTCTAGGACTTCTGTCTCCTCAATTTAGAATATGCCAGTATTGGTTGTGAGTAGTCCCGGTGTTGAAGGAACAGACAGCAACTGCCCTATTGTGGAAGGTGAATGTGAGATTTGGATAAAAACTAGAAAGGGATAAAACCTGGGGAATGCCTTAGCTATGGGAAGAGGAAGAACCCACGGTGAGTGACTACCTGCCTGTCTTCTCCAATCTGAGCTGGCTTTGCTAGCAGAACTAAGTCTGTTTTCTCTCTCACAGGCAACGGCAATGTCTGTGGACTGTCTCGGGCAGCATGCAGTGCTTTCTGGGTGAGTGAGCTTGCTGTTTGTCTGCCATGACTTCTGGGAACAGATAGAAAATTAAGAGGTTTCTGGGAAATTAGAAAATACTCTTATATTTAAGGGTTACGATCATAGGGTTTAGTTCTGCTATGCTATTGACCTCAGGGGGACTGGTAGGGATTATTTGCAGTTATTTTTGTCTCTGCTCTAACAGGTAAGCAATAAAATTCCTTTGAAATTTTAGTGACTGGTCTTGGAATTGCAGTTCTCTGTTTACTGCACGGACTCTTCAGAAGGATGCCAGCTGGTATAGTTTAACAGGTAGTTACTAGGATTGAGGGGATCCTGGTTCTCGTTTGGCAGTGCCATTGATTATGGCATTTCAGTTGCCTCCCTGGACTTGGTTTTCTTGTGAAGGAATTGGATTTCATCATGAATAAATTGAACTACCTTATTTCTACAGTGTCTTCTGGTGCAAAAAAAATTTTTTTTTAAATTTTTATTGATTTCAGAGAAGAAGGGACAGGGAAAGAGAGATAGAAACATCAATGAGAAGAGAATCATTGATCTCCTGCACCCCTCACACTGGGGATTGAGCCCGCAACCCGGGCTAGTGCCCTTGACCGGAATCGAACCCAGGACCCTTCAGTTTGCAGGCCAATGCTCTATCCACTGAGCCAAACCAGCTAGCCCAATTGTCTTCCATGAGCTAAACTTGACCTTTCTTTTTCCTCCAAAGTTAGAGTTAAACTTTTCCCAGGTAAGAGCTGCCTTTCTTATAGATATACTAGAGGCCTGATGTACGAAATCCGTGCAAGAGTAGGCCTTCCTTCCCCCGGCTGCCAGCACTGGTTTCCCTTTGGCACCCAGGACCTGGGCTTCCCTTGCAGCCCTGGCTTCATCCGGAAGGTGGTCCGGAAAGAGTTCCGGTCTAATTAGCATATTATGCTTTTATTATTATATATAGATTCTTATTTTAATGGGTCTTTAAAGGGGAATGAAGATAAATGCGTATGTTTATCTTCTGTCCTGTATTTGCTTTGGAATGTCTCTGAACTCCCCTGTTGACAGGCACCTCATATGTTTAGTTCTTAGCCTTTTCCTGTTTTCTGTTCTAATGGTAAGATGCCAGCTGGCCAGAGGTTCTAGATCTTTGTTCTGCAGCAACTTTTTAGAAGTTTCAGAAGTTCTGTAAATTTGTGTCCTACCTATGCATTCCTTCTTTTCCCTTAACTATCCCTCTTAGGGTTTCTGCTAGTTTTCCATGCCATTTCAACTTTCCATTTCCTATCTTTTCTGAATAGGGACTATTAATCTTTTTCTTCATTTTTGAGCCCACCTATATTCATTGATATCCAGGGGCTTGGAGTGCTAACAATGAATTGATAGCTGATGGCTGCTGAAATGTTAATTTACACACCAAAAAAAGGAAAAATAAGTGAACACAGGACATCCCTGTTCTCATTTCATTTATATTGATTGGTACCTTGAACATTATTGACACTTAATATGTTATTTTCATTATTTGTTGTGTTTGTTATTTCCCCTCCTGTTAGATTTCATTTAGTTTCCCTTTCAGGTAGACGACTTGTAAGGGAAATTGAGATTTTTCTACAGGATATTTGGCTAAGTGATAAGTGATGTGTTTAATTTAACACGCATTTGTTAAAGCGTGGTAAACACTGCGCCTTAGTGATTCTGGGCATATCAAGATATTCGAGACTTGGTCCATACTCCAAACACTTAGTTGGTTCAGGATGAGAGCCTTAACAGTAGTAGTTCTGCAACAGAGATAAAGGCTGCAGTCAAAATGCAAACCACATACTGGGAGTAATGTAGAAACAGTGACTGTCCGCACTGGGGCATTGGGAAAGGCTGGGAGAGGGGCAGGGTTGGAGCTGAGTATGGTGGGAAGAGGTCAGACTTTCATGGATGTGGTGGGGAAGACGATCTCTGGAGGAAGACTCACAGGGATGCTCCTGCTTGTCTAACAGCCACCTTAGTTACTCCTGCACTTGCATGCCTTTCAGAATAGATAAATGGTCAATATACCTGGGTTTTTTTGAGCACTGCTCGCAAATCATATGTAATTCTAAATGTGCTTTTCTATCTTAATGCTAATGCTGTTATAGTGTCATCATGATATGTTGTTCTCCTAGCCGCCGGTTCCTATACATCGTTAATCTAGATGCCCCTTTCGAAGGTCACCGAAAGATCTCTCGCCAGAGCAAGTGGGACATTGGCGCTGTGCAGTGGAATCCTCATGACAGCTTTGCACACTACTTCGCAGCTTCGGTGAGTTTATTTAAGGACTATATGACATGTGTGGTCTGGGGCTGAAAGGGGTATGTCTTATGTAGGGAAGAGACTGTAACCCTCATTTCTTAGGCGGAAAAGAGGTGTGGGTGGTTCTAAAAGGAAGATAGAGATTATGTATATGAAAGGTTTTATTGGTACCATAGGTGTCAGACTTTGTATTTCTAAGGATTGAATCCAGATTTGCAAGGGAAACAGGTAGATGGCTTCCATTTCTTTGTGTGATCAGAACCTGTTTTCATTAGCAGCAATGTCACTAGCCAGTGACGCTGAAACCCGTTTTGAGGGGGAACTAGTGAGCTCAGCTGTGGTTGACCTTCAGAGCTTTCAGAGGGATCAGAAGATTCCGTATGCCCTTCACTCAAAGGAAGGAGTTCTTCCTTTTTTTTTTCTTTTTTTAAAATTGATTTCAGAGAGAAGAAGGGAGAGGGAGAGAGATAGAAACATCAATGCTGAGAGAGAATCATTGATCAGCTGCCTCTTTCACAACCCCTACTGGGAATTGAGCCTGCAACCCGGACATGTGCCCTGACCAGGAATTGAACCATGACCTCCTGGTTCATAGGTTGATGCTCAACCACTGAGCCACACCACTTGGGCTCACTTCTTTTTAGTATATATCTAGGAGTGGAATGGCAGGGTCATGTAGTAAGTCTGTGTTTAACTTTTTGAGGGACTATGAAACTGTTTTCTACAGTGGCTGAACTGTTCTACAGTCCCACCAGCAATGCATAATGGTTCCATTTTATCCACATTGTCACCAAAAGTAGTTACTTCCTGTTGTATTTAAATTAAAAAAAAAATTATAGCCATTCTAGTTAGTGTACTAGGTAAAGTGGTACCTCACTGTGGGTTTGATTTGCATTTCCCTAATGACTAATGATGTTGAGCATCTTTTCATGGGCCTGTTGTCCATTTGTATATCTTTTTTTGGAGAAATGTTTGTTCAAGTTTTTTGCCCATTTTTGCATTGGGTTGTTTGTCTTTTTGCTTTTGAATTGTAATAGTTCTTTTTAAAAAATATTTTTCTTGATTTTGAGAGAGAGAGGAAGGGAGAGGAAGAGAGAAAAAGAAACATCGATTGGCTGCCTTCTGCACGCCCCCTTGCGGGATCAAGCCCGCAACCCAGGCATGTGCGCTGACCAGGAATCGAACTGGGACCTCCTGGTTCAGAGGTCAACCCTCAACCACTGAGCCACGCCAGCTGGGCCCTACACCATGTTGTTGACGCAAACATTCGCCGTGTCTCGGGACATTATGCTTGTGAAACCTCCAGGCAGCCTTTTTTCACTTTCTTTTGAAAAAAAATTTTATTGATTGATTCTAGAGAGAGATAGTGAGAGAGAGACATTGATTGTTGTTCTACTTATTTATACATTTATTGGTTGACTCCCATATGTGCCCCAACTGGGGATCGAACCTGCAATCCTGGCACATTGGGACAACGCTCCAACCAACTGAGCTACCTGGCCAGGGCCTTTTCATTTTCTTGATAATGTCCTTTGATACATAAAAGTTTTAATGAAGTTCAATTTATTGATTTTTTTTGAGCATCAGTTGATTAAGCCTCAGTTGCCTCATCTATATGAGACATGGGTGATGACACCCAGTGTATAGTGTGGTGAGAAAGACCAGAGGACTCGTCTGTTAATGTTCCTAGTTCATTGAGCAGACCCTTTGGAAATGTCAGGGAATATTGTAAGATGAAGGGAATTTCTTTTCACTCTTAGTCCCATTGGAAGCTATTTTGAATCCTAATCTTTTCACAGGAATCTTACCAATTTAGAATTGGAATCAGGCATTTCAGTATAAAAATCTTGAAATGTTATCCATCTGTATGACTCTGAACTAAAATGAAAATCAGTCATCTATATATTATTAAACAGCCTATTAGTAACCTTTATTCACTATCAGTGTGTTTCATAAACTCATGATAGTTTACGAGCCTTTGCCGGTTTGTTGTGTTTTTAAGTGAAATATAGTTTGATCAAAGCTTTTTTCTTCTTTTTTTCTGTTGTAACTATTGTTTCTATTGGCCCATTTTTCTGTGTCGTTCTGTGTAAGTCTTTAAAAAATTTGCGTCCTAGCCGCTTTGGCTCAGTGGATAGAGCGTTGGCCTGCGGACCAAAAGGGTCCAGGGTTTGATTCTGGTCAAGAGTATGTACCTTGGTTGCAAGTTCCTCCCCGGCCCAGGCCCTGGTCAGGGCTCCTACAGGAGGCAACCAATCGATGTGTTTCTCTCACATCGATGTTTCTCTCTGTCTTTCCCTCTCCTTTCCCCTTTCTGTAAAAAAAAAAAAAAAACAATGGAAAAAATATCCTCGGGTAAGGATGAAAAAATCCTATATAATAAAGAGCTAATATGCTAATTAGACCAAACAGCAGAACGACCATCCGGATGACCTTTTGGACGAAGCTGGGGCTGCGAAGGTCAACCCAGGCTGTGAGGGCCGGCTGCGAGGGGCTGTGAAGGCCAAGCCCCTTGCATGAATTTCATGCATCGGGCCTCTAGTATAATAATAATAAATAAATAAATTTGATATAGGCCTGTTTTAAGGAGTCTTGTGTAATTTTGCCTTCTCCGACACCCTTTTGATGGTGTTTCTGAAATCCCCTTTTAAGGAGTCTTGTGAATTTTGCCTTCTCCGACACCCTTTTGATGGTGTTTCTGTTCTTTTTCTTGTGCATCTGTGTTTTTAAAGCATGGTAGGTTGACTCTAGGCACTTGATAATGGGAAGAGTGAGCTAAAAATATCTGGTGTGCCAGCAGTGGAGAGAAATGGGTGTGTGACCTTCAGAATAGGGAGGAGGTTCCTCTAGTGGTCTGGGGCCATCTCCAGTACCCTTAACTCACACGCTCAGTCTGTAGGATCTTTGCCATGCAAGTTGGTTTTGACATGGCTTCCCTTTCTTGGCCTTAAGCAGATTGGGGTGAGAGCATATATTCTGATGCCTTCTTTCCCTTTTTCTTTTCAGAGTAACCAACGGGTCGACCTCTATAAGTGGAAAGACGGCTGTGGGGAAGTTGGCACAACCTTACAGGGCCATACTCGTGTAATCAGGTAGGCACCAGCCCTCTGCAGCTCCCTAGGGAGTGAGATGAAAACACCCACCTCCTCCCAAGCTTGATTCTCTGTGTTGCGTTGGCCCTGGGTGGCTGTTAGATCGTTAGCTTGTACTGAGGTGATGACTTTCACAGTGGAAAACACTGGTATTTAGGAACCAGCATTCATGTGGTATTAACCCTGATCCCAGAAAATACTTAGACAGGTACAGAGTAAGGATTAGAGCTGACTTTAACGCAGGAGGGAGAAGTTATGCCATAATCCCTCAGGTCATAGTCGGCGGTGGCCAGGAATAGAGACATCTGGGAGCAGCCTGTGCCCTTTCTCCAGCAGATGTGAGTCACCACATAGAGCTCCTGCCTCACAGTCCATCGTCCAGACACGCAGTTCCCTTCCACTGATGGCCTTCCAGTGGCCTCTGGAGTGTCCCCTGAGCCACCCTTCCCTGGGTCCCTGTTTCTGGGTGGAGAAAGCTTGTTCTGGGAAGTAGCAGCAGGGAGTGCAGGGGTGGTGAAGTGGACTTGGAAGTGATAGGAGAGGCTAGACCCCTGCCTCTGCTAACTGTTCACGTAGTAACTGCCTTTCTAGACGTGAGGGCACGAGTAGGGGACCAGAGGCCTGCTGGTAACATGGCAGCTTGCCACTGCTAAGGGACGTTGGGTATACTCACTGTCCCTGTAGTGGAGTCTGATTCAAAAATAAAAAGTCAAAAATTTTCCTTGTTTTATCTGTACAGTCTGTGCCTGCATGTGTTCGTGCGTGCATGTGTGTTTTAAGTTGAAATACTCCATTTCTGTTCCGGAGCACATGTAAGATAGCTGGAGATGACAGGGAAGGACCTGAATGTTTCTTTCCGAGCTCAGTTAAGTCTTGTTCATTCCCAAAGAACGTTGGAGATTCGCAGCCTAAACCGTGTTAAGAGGCCCATTAACAGTGACTTTCAAAACCACCAGAGCCTAAATCTGCCACTGCTTTGGAACCAGATTCTGAATTTTTTCTCTCTTTATTATTCTGTGTTCCCAGCGACTTGGACTGGGCAGTGTTTGAACCGGATCTCCTCGTGACCAGCTCTGTGGACACCTACATCTACATTTGGGATATCAAGTAAGAACAATGAAGAGGCATAACCACGTGGTGTGGCATGATTTGGTAGCTTCATTTTAGAGATCAGGCATCTTAGTTTGGTGCCCCCTAGAAGGCAGACCCTGAGACAGGGATACTTTGCAGATACATTATTTAAGAGTTGAAAGAAGTGTGGTAGGGGATGGAGAAGAGACAGGATGGGGAAGACCACAAAGAGAGGGCGCATTATCCACCTGTGTACCACTGTGAACCGGTGAGGCTCAGTCTTACTGGGGCTGCTAGGTGCCAGTGTAAAACTCCCTCCTCAGAGGCATCCCACCCCGAGGGCTAAGGAAGTGGGGGTGCTGTTCACTGTCAGTCATTGGTTGTCCCCAGGGGCCTTACTTCTCTGCACTCAGTCCTGTCACAGTGGTTTGCAAAATGGTCTTCAGCAGCTAGGGAGATTTTGTGGCGTTTGGAAGTCAGGCTGAAGTTTACTGAAGTGGCAAGTGATGGCGGGGGAATTTTGATGGGCACAGACACGGCTGCTACTGCAGGCAGTGCTACAAGACACATCTGCTCAGCTCTTTACTTGCTCTTTGGGAGGCTTCAGTTCCCCATCTGTGAGGGTGGCTGAGAGCCACCTGGTAGAGATACTCTTCATGGGGTAAAGAGCACCCGGCCCAGGCCTGACGCCTTGAAAGTTCTTTTTTTAATATATATTTTTCAATTACTTTCTTCGAGGAATAGTGTGTGTGTGAGAGAGGAGGAGGAGGAGGAGGAGGAGGAGAGAGAAACATTGATGGGTTGCCTCCCACACATGCCCTGACTGGGGATCGAACCCTCAACCTGGGTATGTGCCCTGACTGGGATTCAAACCCACCACCTCTTCATGTACAGGCTGATGCTCCAACTAACTTAGCCACACTGGCCAGAGTACTTTGTAAGTTCTTTTTTTTTTTTTTTAAAGTTTATTGTTGAAAGTATTGCAGATGTCCTCTTCCCCCACCCACCCCATTGACCTCCTCCACCCTGGATCCGTGCCCATCCCCCTCAAGGCCTTCATCACATTATTGTGTAAGTTCTTAATAAATGTCACTTCCCCTCTCCCTTTGTAAAGCGAAGTTCTCTTTACCATAACAGAGGTGACTAACTAGTGGGTATAGTCTGTAGAGTCCCGGAGATGGTCCACATTTTGCCCTCCCCAGGCTGCTCTGCTCCCAAATGGCAGTGGCTTTGTGACATTTTACATTGAAAGGTGGACTGTACAATGCAGTGTGCAGATGGTGTTTTGTTGAGTTGTACACTTGAAACCTATATGGTTTTGTGAACCAATGTCACCCCCATAAATTCAATTAAAAAAAAAGAGAGCTTCAATCACCTTGAAGTGCTAATCTTCAGGGAATGCCGGTGACGTCAGCCATACACACCCTTGCTCCCTAAGAATCCCTTTCACTGGTCCGTCAGACCTGTCATATCGCAATACCTGGCCTGTCTTCTACCTTTTGTGACTGACTTATTTCACTTAGCGTAATGTCCTCAAGGTTCATCCATGTTGCAGCATGTGACAGACTCTCCTTCCTTTTTAAGGCCTAATAATATCCCACTGTATGTATATATCACATTTATCCACTGATCAGTCGATGGACACTTGGGTTGCTTCCACCTCTTGGCTATCGTGAACACCCAGAGTAGTTTTTTACTTTACCTTTGAAATGCTTTGGTAAGGTTCTTGCAGAGTTACCCCTCCATGACCGTCCCCTTGTTCCATTAGGAGAAATGACACCAGGAAGGTATTCTTTTGGCTTTTTCTGCTCCTACATTGGGGTCACCCAGGCCACTGTGCTCTTTTTATGTGTGTGTTTCGTTGTTGTTGTTAATCCTCACTGGAGGATATTTTCCCATTGATTTTTAGAGGGAGTGGAGGGAGGGGGAGAGACAGAGAGAAACATCAGGGTGAGAGAGACACATTGATTGGTTGCCTCCCCCATGTGCCCTGACCAGGGCCAGGGATCAAGCCTGCAACCAAAGTATGTGTCCTTGATTGAAATCGATCCCAGGACCCTTCATCTGCAGGCTGACGCTCTAGCCCAGCCGTGGGCAAACTACAGCCCGCGGGCCGGATCCGGCCCATTTGAAATGAATAAAACTAAAAAAAAAAAAAAAGACCGTACCCTTTTATGTAATGATGTTTACTTTGAATTTATATTAGTTCACACAAACACTCCATCCATGCTTTTGTTCCGGCCCTCGGGTCCAGTTTAAGAACCCATTGTGGCCCTCGAGTCAAAAAGTTTGCCCACCCCTGTTCTAGCCACTGAGCTGAACCAGCTAGCTGGGGCTCTTTATGTTCTTTTTTTTTTTTTAACATTTTTTTTATTTTATTGATTTTTTACAGAGAGGAAGGGAGAGGGATAGAGAGTTAGAAACATCGATCAGCTGCCTCCTGCACACTCCCCACTGGGGATGTGCCCGCAACCAAGGTACATGCCCTTGACCGGAATCGAACCTGGGACCCTTGAGTCCGCAGGCCGACGCTGTATCCACTGAGCCAAACCGGTTAGGGCTCTTTATGTTCTTTTTTAAGGCTCTCACATTCCCACTGATCTCCAAGTACCTACTGAAAGGAAAGTGAAGAAATATGTGCAGAGGGTGAAAAGCACCAGGTGGGTGGTGGCATATGAATTGGGCATTTGATTTCTGACTTTTGTATTTCAGAGACACAAGGAAGCCTACCATTGCACTGTCTGCTGTAGGTGAGTGTATATTCCCTCTGTTTGTCTTTATTCTGTTCCTTCCATTCTTTCTCTCACACTGACTGTCCACACCCCATGTTTTGTTGTGGCTAGGTGGAATTTTAAGGCCCATATTGCAAGGGACTTGCTTCAGGTTGCTCTTAGAATTTAGTCAGGACTATTGAGTTGTAGTCAGCAACTTATTTCAGAATGCAAGGACAGGAACTAAATTGATTTGTTTTTAAACTTTTTATTGCGGAAAATTTTAATGTGTATAAAAATAGCATAAAGTGAAGTACCTTGTGTTCATCATCCAACAACCACAATTGTCAACATACTGTCAGTCTTATTTCATCTTTACCTGTACCCACTGTCCCACTGCCCACCCTATCCTCTTTGGGATTATTTTGAAACAAATCCCAGGTATTCTTTCGTTTCATCAACAAATATTTCATTAAGTATTTTTTACAAGAAAAGAATCCTTTAAAAAACAATTATATACTGTCAACATACCTAAAAATATTAAAAATAGCTTTTTATTATCATCATACACTTAAGCAGTATTCAAATTTCCCCAGCAGTCTGTCTGTCTGTCTCTCTTTCTCCTTTTTTTTTTTTTTTTTTTTACAATTATTTGAACAGAATCCAAGTAAAGTCCATACTTCAAATGGTTGATATACTTCTCATCTTTATTAATTGGTAGGATTCTTCTCCTTTTCCTTTTTTGGTTTGTATTTCTTTTTCTGCAGTTTGTTTATTGAAGAAACCAGGCTGTTTGTCCTGTGGTTTCCCCACATTCTAGGATGATGCTGATTGTGTCCCCATGGTTTCATTTAATATGGAGGCACTGCGTCTTTGAAATCTGATCTACCTGTTTTCATTGCTCAGTTGGAATGAACTATTGTTGGGATTCTGCACTGGGCTCTTGTGGAGGGTTCCCACCAGTTCCTGAGAGTTGAACTGGGGTGTAGAACTGGTAAACCTTACTCACAGGGATGAAGCCTAATCATCAGGATTATCTTTTGGCATCAAGTACCTGTCACGAGGAGATGGAGCGGGGTCTTCTTACTCATTCTCTAGCTGATACACTTTCTTACAAAAAAACTGGGTTTTCACCACTTATTCTTAGGTGACTTAAGATGCCCTGTGTCTCAAGAAAAAAAAACAAAAACAAAAAATACCCTCACCAAAACCAAGCAAAGATAACTCTGGGCCTTATCTCTATTTCCTGTTAGATTCTAAGTCCTTGCTTTTCTCCAGACTTCTTGAATCAGGTTGCTCTTCAAAGCCCTGGATCTACTATGGTATCCCCAATAATAAACACCCACCCAAAGGGAGAGATGTCAAAGCAGAAATATCATGTGTTATCTGAGCAAGAGCAAAAAGAGGTGGGAAGGAGGGCCATTGTTTGGTTCTGGTTTAACTTAACTCGATTATTTTTAAGAGTCAGCTTCATTGCTGCTGTGCCCCAGTTTTTCCCATTTCTCAACCTCTTCTGCCATCTTACAGTGTGCTGTCTCTCTTAAGTAGTAGCTCTTTTGTCATTATTCTTTGTGTTTGCAGAGTGGAAAGGCCTGAGTCCACACAGTGCCTGGGTGTTCCCTTTCCCTGACTCAGTGCAGGGCCAGTGGCCGTGTCTAACCACTGATGGGGTGGTGGAGGGGAGTGCACACCACCCTCTGAGGGCAGAATTGGGTTCTGGTCATTGAGGTGATGAAGAGCCAAGTTGTGTGATGAGTCAGTTACCAACCAGCAGATCCACGTTCAATGTCTGCTCTCTAAGAAACTGCTTAGAGCAGTAACCTGCAGATGCTGCTGATGCTGCTCAGAGGTAACCTGTAGATTTTTCCCCCTGAGTGAAGTTATCAGGTGACTCCGATCCTGTTCCCATGTGTTATTTAATTCATTTATTTTTTGGCTTTCTTTTCTCTTTATGGTGGAGTTGGTGCATGTATAGAAACTTGAAGGAGTCTGTGCTTATTTTAACCAGAGCTCATTATCCAGCTCCCCTGGGTATGCTGTCCTCTGATTCCAAAGGTGTTGAGGTCAGCAGCTTTCTACCCTGATTTTTCTTTGCAGCGGGTGCCTCACAGGTCAAATGGAATAAAAAAAATGCTAATTGCCTTGCCACCAGCCACGACGGGGATGTACGGATATGGGACAAGCGGGTGAGTAATCTCTCTTTTTGCCCCAGTTGGCCTTTAATCCCTCCCAGAGGGTAAGACGAGGATGTTGTGTGTAGCAAGGCTTGTCTGAGAGTCTGGCGTGCCTGTGCAGTGTGGTAAATTGCCATTTTCAGATCACAGTACCAGATGATCTTTTGCTTCCTGATCAAACTGGCGTTGAAGGAAGGTAGGGAAGTGAGGCATATGATCAGTGGTTAAGACAATGAACTTGGTCTCTGAAGTTAGAGTCCCATTTTGCTGTCTCCTAAGTATGATATCAGATGAGTCACTGAACATCTCCAAGCCTCCATTTCCTTATCTTTAAAGTAAAGTTGATAATAATAGTGAGTGTATCATTGAGGACGTCAATCCTGGGAGACCCAACACTATTCTAAGATGGTCAACTGCCCCAGATTGTAAAGCAAAAACTGTTTGTTCTGGGACATACACCATCCTGGATATCTCTGGTGTAAATGACTGAGATGCGGGGTACTCAGTTGCACAAATCTTCCCTTAGGCCTAGCTATCTCATCAGCCCCAAAAGAGCCTACAGACCATATATTCTCCCTTCAACAGCTCCTGTAACTGACAGGCAGGAAGCACTGTGGGGTCCTTGACTGCTGTTGTAATGGAAAGTATGTAGGACGTTTGGTATGTTGACATGAGGGACAGTAATGATGCAGGGAAAGGGCCTCCCCGGTATCTAACTGCCAGACGATTGGGCAATAACGCTCCTGTAAGATCTGGGGTCTAAACACCACTTCCTGCTCTGTGAAGCCCAAGGCTGGAGATCCTCAGCCTTTGGGGGAGCACCAACTTTGAGTTTTCCTGAAACTTGTTCAGGGTCTGTCCCAACTCCGGTGTTGCCTGGAAAGTCTCAGTTTTGCTTCTGGCTGCCCTGCTCCCTTCCCTCTTAGCAGGGAGTAAGGTCTTATAGTTGCAGAGCGGAGAGGGAATGAAGCAAAGATTGGGGGTCTGCTGGATTGGCTGCCAGGACTGCTGGGGAAGTCATGTGCTGGCTGCAGCTTTCAGCCTTAGTAGCTCTTAGGGGAGAAGGAGATTTTATAAATAGAGGTTGGACAGGTGTATCTTCCATATGTTTTTGTCTCTGTCCCTTTAGTCCAGTCTGGTAGTAGTCATTCTTCCACCCTCTTTATTTCTTAAAGTGGTGACTGGGTTTATTCTTTTTGTCACTAGCATAGCATTTAAATATAGTGAATAGTTTAAATGAAATGTGTGGTTAAGTTAATTGTAGTGAATCCCTATTTGCTATAGAATGCTTTCAGAGTCATAGGCAAAAGAAACACTTCGGTATTTAGCCAGGAACTCTGCCAAAACAGTACCTGTGTTCCTTATCTTTTTTTTTTTTTAAGTAAAGAATTATTAGGTCATCTGGAAAACCAGATGGGCTGAGCCCCAAATGGCACCAGCCTGTGTGCCTTATCTTGAAGTACATACAGCCAAACTGTTCCTTCCTAGTCTTTTGATTGGTCCACTAATAACCCTGACTTCCCCCAGCAAGCCTTTTATCTATTTGGTTTAAGGGGTTTTAACTTTATTTTTGGCTATTAGTAACTTAAGACTTCTGCTGAGATGGATTGTAAAGCTGGTTGGTTTTATTTCTCTGGCACTTCTAGTGTCAGAGCAGCACTGATGGCAGCCAGCCTCAGAGGCTTAAAAGAGTGCAGTATCAGTGGTGATGTTGGAGTGTATTATCAGTGTGACGGATAATACTTACGTTTACTAAGCATTTCTGGTGCACAGGCATTGTTCTAAGAACTTTATGTGTATTGGTTTATGTCTCTTTTTAACTAGTCTTTAAAGTAGGTACTATTGTGATCCCTGTTCTGCAGATGAGTAAACGTAGGCACAGTTTGTTACTAGGATTTTAACCCAGGGAGGCTAGTTCTGGAGACTGTACTAATACATGCTCTTTAGAGCAAGTATAGAAAGAAAATAATCATTCATAGTCCTATTACCCAGAGACAAATGCTAACATTTTGATATTTTATTTTCTTCTACATTTTTCATGGTTTATCATATCATATATGTAGTTATATATACTTTTTTCATTTAATATTACATTTTCCTCATGTTATAATCTCTACGTATAATTATTTTAGAAATATTTATTTATTAAATTTTGTTGTTAATCCTCACCGAAGGATATTTTTCTATTAATTTTTAGAGATAGTGGAAGGGAGTAGGAGAGACAGAAACATTGATGTGAGAGAGACACATAGATTGGTTGCCTCCCATATGTGCCTGGACTGGGAATTAAACCCACAACCTAGGTATGTGCCCTGACCAGAAATTGAACCCCCAGGCTTTTGGTGTACAGGATGCTGCTGCAAGAAACTGACTCCCGAACACAGCCAGTTGGCCTGGAGGTCAAATCCCTCTAGTATTAACTACAACAATCAAGGCTTAACCACAACAAGACTGCGCACAAAGACCACTAGGGGGTGTACCAAGAAAGCGTAAAAAATGCGGAGACAAAGAAACAGGACAAAACTATCAAGGGAGGATATTGAGTTCAGAACCACACTTTTGAGGTCTCTCAAGAGGCTTCTAGAGTCTGTCGATAAACTTGATGAGATGTACAGGAAATCTAATGAGACCCTCGATGGTGTGATAAAGGACCATCTAGAAAGTAAGCATACACTGACTGAAATAAAGAATATTATACAGACTCCCAACAGCAGACCAGAGGAGCGCAAGAATCAAGTCAAAGATTCGAAATGCGAAGAAGCGAGAAACACCCAACCGGAAAAGCAAAATGAAAAAAGAACCCAAAAATACGAAGATAGACTGACTCCCCCAGCCAGCACTCTAAGTATAACTTAAAAAAAAAAGTTTTTATTGCTTTCGGAGAGAGGGAGGGAGAGATAGAAACATCAGTGATGAGAGAGGATCATCAATTGGCTGCCTCCTGCATGTTCCCCACAAGGAATCGAACCCCCCAACCCAGGCATGTGCTTTGACCAGGAATCGAACCTCGACTTCCCGGTTCATAGGCCCACACCCAACCACTGAGTAACACCGGCCAGGCTCTAAGTATAACTTTTAATGGCTGCTTCATATTGTATCAGAAAACTGTACTAGAATTGATTTAAAAATTTTAATCATTCCCCATTACTATTTGTATTGTTTCTGGTTTTCTGGTGTTCCATGAAATTCCAAGATGAACATCTTTTGTATCTAAAGCTTTCTGTGAATTTGGAATATTCCCTTGAAAGGAAAATTTTAAGTCTCTTGATAAAATCTGTCAAATCCCCCTCCCCCCCAAAGGTTTTGGTATTTTATATATACACCAGCAGTGATAAATGCAGACTCTGCATTGAGTATTATTTATAGGTATCTTTTAATTTGATAGCTTAAACATATTTTAATGTATTGTTTGAGGTTTCCTTTTGAGCTTGTTCATTTTTATATGCTTATTAATTGTGTATTGTTTTCTTTTGTGATGTGTGTTCATTCTTTTTTGGGGTCTTGGTCACAATATTGGAAGTTTTCAGGATTGACATTGGATCTGTTTGGACATCACAGCCCCTCTTCTTGGGTGATCCTGAGGAAGGGGAGCAAGAATTGCAGACCACCATACTAATGGGGAAAAGCCCCCACTATCTCGTATTCTTCATGAAAGCCTGTCAGGGGCTGGAGCGGAAAGAGATTAGGCTCCCAGAGCCATATACAGAGCATGGGAGAAGGAGAGCAGGATAAGTGTTGTTGTTGGTTGTAAACCAAACAAAGTGGTTTCTTAAAGATAGAGACCGTATCTAGCATTTTTGTATCCCCGCTCATCACCCTGCCGACTATGTGGTAGACTCGAGTTTTTTCTAAATAGACAATCAATGTGCTGGTCTTTTGCAGAAACCTAGTACAGCAGTGGAATATCTAGCAGCCCATCTGTCCAAAATCCACGGCCTGGACTGGCACCCAGACAGCGAGCACATTCTTGCTACCTCCAGTCAAGATAATTCTGTCAAGGTGAGTGGTACCCCAGTGGGGAAGCTGGGGAGCTGTGTTTGGGAGGCATCAGTTTGTGTTTATGAGGCAACACTTTCTTCTGAAGGAAAGCTACAGTATGTTGGCGCAGTCTGTGTGTTTCAGGGGTGCATGTTCTTGTTGGGGAGCTGAGCAAGTAAACCTGGTTATGTAGACCAGTAGGAGTGATATAGTAGCATATCTATATATATAAAAGCCCAGCGACCAGAATGGTGGAATGACCAACATGACCGGTGGCTATGACTCGCAGTGGGGCAGCCAACCAGCCCGATTGACCCCCCCACCTCCTGGCCGGCCCCACTCCCAATTGGCCCCCAACGCCCCAATCGGAGGCAGGGCCAGCCAGCCAACTGCCCGCAGCCCCTCCCCCTGACTGGCCCTGCCCTCAGTCAGCCCCCAACACCCCAATTGGGGCGGGGCCAGCTGGCAACCGCCTGCGGCCCCTCCCCCCCCGCTGGCCCACAATATTGGAAGTTTTCAGGATTGACATTGGATCTGTTTGGACATCACAGCCCCTCTTCTTGGGTGATCCTGAGGAAGGGGAGCAAGAATTGCAGACCACCATACTAATGGGGAAAAGCCCCCACTATCTCGTATTCTTCATGAAAGCCTGTCAGGGGCTGGAGCGGAAAGAGATTAGGCTCCCAGAGCCATATACAGAGCATGGGAGAAGGAGAGCAGGATAAGTGTTGTTGTTGGTTGTAAACTAAACAAAGTGGTTTCTTAAAGATAGAGACCGTATCTAGCATTTTTGTATCCCCGCTCATCACCCTGCAGACTATGTGGTAGACTCGAGTTTTTTCTAAATAGACAATCAATGTGCTGGTCTTTTGCAGAAACCTAGTACAGCAGTGGAATATCTAGCAGCCCATCTGTCCAAAATCCACGGCCTGGACTGGCACCCAGACAGCGAGCACATTCTTGCTACCTCCAGTCAAGATAATTCTGTCAAGGTGAGTGGTACCCCAGTGGGGAAGCTGGGGAGCTGTGTTTGGGAGGCATCAGTTTGTGTTTATGAGGCAACACTTTCTTCTGAAGGAAAGCTACAGTATGTTGGCGCAGTCTGTGTGTTTCAGGGGTGCATGTTCTTGTTGGGGAGCTGAGCAAGTAAACCTGGTTATGTAGACCAGTAGGAGTGATATAGTAGCATATCTATATATATAAAAGCCCAGCGACCAGAATGGTGGAATGACCAAAATGACCGGTGGCTATGACGCGCAGTGGGGCAGCCAACCAGCCCGATTGACCCCCCCACCTCCTGGCCGGCCCCACTCCCAATTGGCCCCCAACGCCCCAATCGGAGGCAGGGCCAGCCAGCCAACTGCCCGCAGCCCCTCCCCCTGACTGGCCCTGCCCTCAGTCAGCCCCCAACACCCCAATTGGGGCGGGGCCAGCTGGCAACCGCCTGCGGCCCCTCCCCCCCTGCTGGCCCAGCTTGATGAGCCCCCATTGGGGTGGGCTGGCCAGACCCCACCCATGCACCAATTCTAGCACCGGGCCTCTAGTATCTGATGACTCCTGGACTTTGTTCCTTTCCCCTTGTGAAAGGAAGTCAGAAACAAAAGCATTTAGAAAGGAAAAGAAGTTTACTGACAAAGAAGTTGCCAGGAAGTCAGATTTCAGAAGGACTGGCTCAGCAAAGAAAAAGCACAACAGACATATAAGGAAAGGAGAAAAGCCCACAGAATTCTTAAGGTTACCAAGTTTACCATTAGTCTATCTGGGGTGGAAAAGCAGCAGAAGTCAGGAATAGAGTTGTTTTATTAGAGATTCTTTAGCTTACAAGAAATGCTCAAGGTTCATGTGTTTTGGTGACTCTATTATTTTTGGTTTATCTCAGAGTGTAGTGTTTCTTATTGTTTGTTTTTCTTCTCTGACTGTGGCATGTGATGTGTGTGCCCCCTTATTCACAAGGATGCAGGGCACGGAGTCAGCCTCGCTCTACAGTTCCTCCTTGTGGTCAGGCCTCTGCCTGGAAAGTCAGAGATTTAACCACAGAAATTTGCTTAGCAATTTTGTGATTCAGCATCATTAATTTAATGCTTTGCTTTATTTTCATAGGCACGCTCGTCTTTTTGGTATGGTTAGCAAAACTAAAACCATACATACACTAAGGCTTGAAAGTTAACTTCTCTCTTGAGATTTGTAAAACCTCCAGGGTTGTACTTGACGTTTATGTGCCAGAAGTGGTTTTCTTGTTTCTTCGTTTTATTTTATTTTTTTTACCCACATGGGCTTCTTTTTTTTTTTAATTGCTTAAAGTATTACAAAGAGTATTACATATATCTCCTTCCCCCTCACCCCCCT